GGCCTTCGACCAATGTCCGGTAGGGCGAAAAGACACACAAAAATCGGCCCAGTATTTTTCCGGGGCCGCCGAGGACCCGAATAATGTCCTTGGCGGCCCCTTTTCTTTCTGATTTTTCGTTGGGGGGCCCGGTTCCGAACGTCCAGGACCGGACACCGGACGCCTACATAATGTTTGGGGGTGTCTGGAAACCGGTCCGGACGTTCGGTCAGTTACCATGTTAAATACCTTTATAGGAATTTGAAATTTTTGAATTCCTTCTTGTTTTTGAAGGAAAAGCCTAAAAGGGCGACGGCCTTGAGATGTCATCATTGAACTGACCGGGCCCAGGCAACTCACAATTGTTTTACTCTATTCATCTGATTGCATCTGGATTCGAGCTTGGATCGGTATTTCAACAGTTCGTTGGGTTCACCAACTGAGCTAGGCTCGTTGGTGATTTTCTGGATTTCCTTCTTTTTTTCTTTTCTTTTTTAATTTGGACCATTTCTCGATTTATGTGTGTCATCCTTGCGCAGGGGCCATGCTAATCTTCTCTGTATCATTCCAATTTTAACGGATGTCCCGAAGGACCAGTGGTGGTGGACCCATTCCTATCCCCCCTGAGTTGTTGCAATGTCCAGTATATGTATGCTGTCATTGTAAGTGCGGCCCCTTATCAGCCCCTCTACCTATGAATGTCCCCCCTAGACCCCTCTCTAGTTGCATTATTTGTGTTTGCATCTTATGTCGACACCCCTTCTGTAGATGGCTCCATTCCATTGGTGGGGAGCTGCACCTGCTGGAAACCGGGTCCAGTGTCCCATTACATTTGCTACAAGGATCTAAAGTTACTCCTTTCACGCAACCTTGAGCATCTATTGAGCCTGTCAGCCTTCTATAGATGGGCTCATAATTATTACTGACCATTGCTGCGAAAGTTACATCTTTTATTAATGTATCAAGCTCTAAATGAGCCTGACCACCTCCTGTGGACAGGCACGTGGTCATTACAGCCTCCAAATGGCCAGCAGGGGCTGTTTGCTGGGAGCACAGAGTGCAGTACGAAATCATTTCATTCCCTTCCCTAACACTTGTCTGCAGCCTGCATCACGGGGTGTTGCTGCACCCTGTTGAATGAGACCATGGCTCCTCTCCCCTTAGCCCGGGCAGCGGCCCAGTCTTGTTCCGCTGTCCCAGCCTGTCGAGCATGGCCTTTGTAAGCTGTAGATTTTCCAACCGTCCCAGTGTCTGCAGCATCCAGCGGAGTAGAAGTTCTGGGAAGGTGGCAGGGTTGGAAGGTGTGAACCGGGGTGGGGGTATCATTGTTATTCCGATCGTTCTTTTTTTTTTTTGTTTTTTTTTGTTTTTTGTTTTTAATGAACAACCCGAGCGGTTGCTGGGGGTGCTGATAGGAGCAGACACCACCAGCGCCTTCGGGGAGGCTCCATCTATTGGTGGGGAGCAGCACCTGCTGGAAATCGGGTCCGCGCCCCTGTAATGTACAATGCGACGAATGAAAACATGCAAGCAGGAGCTGTCAATATGCATGAGGGAGGCGGGCGATGAAGAGCCCGGCCTTACTACGGCGTATTGACTGTCAGTTATCATCTATACACTTGAACTTATTCTGATATGTCGAAGACTCTATAACTGTACTTGTGCCGAAGCCCAATGGCTCATACTATGTGAGGTGTAGTTGAGGTGTGTGATTGAGGATGTTTCTGAGTGTATTGATTATCTCCAAGATCGCTGTGCGGTATGAGATGTGGCTGAGTATATTCGAGAGTGTGCGCTCTGTGGTATGCTCCTGGGTATGAGTCAGTTATTTAGCAGGCAGATCCTATCAGACAACGCGTAACTAGTCCCACCTTTTTGTCCAATGTGCACTTTTATCTTCCACCACCCAGTTCACCCAGTTCATGCTCCCTGCTGCTGGCTCTGATTGTCCTCGAGTGACTCAGTTAGTCCCTTAACACCTGTTGGCTGTCGTTTCAGCTATTGCCAGGTCTTTTAGCTCTGAAGCCCTTAAACCCTTAAACCCTTAAACCCTTAAACTCTTAAACCCTTAAACCCTTAAACTCTTAAACCCTTAAACCCTTAAACCATACTCGTTCACTAGTGTGGTGCGCCATGCAGTGCGGTGCGCCACGCGGTGTGGTGCGCCTTGCGCCGTGCGTGGATCTAGGATGTGAGCGCACATGCGCACACCGCGCACAAAACGCGTACAGGTGCAGCGCACCGTGCAGGGGGAAACTTTGCTGGTGCGCCGCGTGTTGGGTCTTCTTTTTTTTATTTTGTGTGTGTGTG